CCCCCCCCCCAGCGTGCGGGCGGTGGCGAGGTGCTCAGATGCTTGCCGATGGCCTTAAACGCGCTGGCGGACGGCCTCATACCGTCTCTTCGCGGTGCAGACACACTTAGAGCTCGGAGAGTGCGTGCAGTTCCTCTGATCGGAGGGCGAGTGGCCTGTCCGCGTCCCAGGCCCTCCGCAGGGCTGCCTCAGAACAGCCGTGAACAAGATTAATTTCCACGAGACGTGCAACTTCTGTTTCACTGAGTTTCTTAGGAATTGTGTGGGTTTCTCTTGACACTGTTGTCATTTTGGGTTGAACTTTTATAGTAATGGTATGATTATTGTGATTTAGTGTGCAATTCCTTTATAAAACCTAATTTAATCTGACAAGCATTTTAAAAATACCTATTATGGGTTTTTTTGTGTGTGTGTGGTATCAGGAATTGAACTCATGACTTCGAGCTTGCCAGACAGGCACTATGCCTCTGAGCTATTTCCCTGGCCCCAAAAATACTTATTAAAGTCTTAGAGAAATCACTAAGGATGACTAAGATGGTCTCTTGCCCTAAAGTGCTTGGCACCTTTGCTTTTTATTTTCAAGATATGAATATTTTAAAGCCCAAGTCCATATGATAAAGAATTTTACAACGAGGCTGCCAGGAGACAGCACTCTCCTCACGCATCCTTGGACGAGACCCGTGTTTCCAAGGTGGGTTTAGGAAGATCAGGCGTGGCTGCTCTAAGGATAGTGTATTTGCTTTTCATCCTGCTGATAATGTGGTTGGTCTTGGAAAGGTCTGTGTGGAGACTGCATTTGGACTGCAGCACCCAGAACCTGTGCTGGTGACTTCCTTCTGTGCCCCGCCCCGTCGGGCTTTCTGCTGGGTCTCACTTCATCCCTGGCTGCTGCTCCCCCTGGGGCCGATGGGTTTTACAGTGGCGATGACAGAGGCCACGGTGCTTCACCCGGTTTTGTAGGTGCTGAGCACAGAAGGCCTCTCAGACACCCGTCCCTTTGGCACTCAGAACACCCTCCCAGCCAGTCAAGTGCTCTTTCCTAGTGGGGAAACTGAGGCTGAGAGTGGGGGCGGTCCTGAGCCGAGTGGCTCCTCGAGGCCCTATCTCCTTTTCTCCATGTCCCCAGCCGCCCTGCTGCCCAGAGCTGCTGTCACCCCAGGCAGCAATGTCCAGGCCGAGGGGTGCACAGCCCTCATCACCCGCGCTCGCTCCGCTCTAGGTCTCGCTTGGCAAAGAGAAACAGCCCTGGGAAGCTGGCCCCTGCTCCCGAGCTCTGCCCACAAGCAAATTCCCGAAGAACGCGTCGGCCGTGTCACAGCGGCACTGCGCCGGCCACTGGTCTCCTGATCCTCCTCCTGTGCCACGCTGGCTTCCTCTGTCCCTGGAGGCCCCTTCCCAGGACGTGAAATACTGGTCCTGGGCACAGATTCCTTTCGCCACCCAGGGATTGGTGTTTCCTCCATGCTGTCCTCCCAGAAGACCTGAGACCCCGAGCCTGGGCAGCCAGGGACAGCAGGGATGCACAGGCCGAGGCCCGCGACTTCTGACTGCCAAGGTGTAGTGGTCGATACACTGTGTCAGCTGGAGAGTTTAGAAGTTTAAGTGATGCGCAGGGGGCCAGGGTCCTCACTCTGCAAACACCCTCATCCTGTGCAAGAGGAGGGAGTGCAGATGGTGTGAGCAGCCCGAGGGCAGGTAGCCTGCTTTCGTGTAAGGGAGGCAAAGAGGCTGGCTCTCCCCCTTTTGCTCTTGTTGCTTCTGCTGTCTTCTGCCGCCTTGAACTGTTGTCCCTCTGTCACACCCCTGCCTTGGAGCCAGCTGACGATGAGCTGAAACCTCCACAAACCATGAGCTAAATAAACCTTTCCTTCTTTAACTTTGAGCATCGGGTATTTTGTCCCAGCGATGAGAGAAAAGTAACAGCGTGTGGAGACAGCCACCATGTGGGCCTCCGGGCCCCTCCGTCCATGTCCTGAGAGGGAGGGGACACTCACTTCACAGCTTCCACAGCCGCCCATGTGCTGGGGACAGAGGCAGGTGCCGAGGGCTGGAGCCCAACCTGCTCACTCTAGGCCCCCACCCTAAGGGAGCAGAGCATTTTAAAAGTAATAATCCCACCTGGACTAACCCAAAACCAACCCAGGGTCCCTGTGTGCTCCGGTCGAGGGCCGAGTCCGGCCGCACTGTGCAGGACGTGCTGAGGGCCGCTGTTAGCGGCCTCGGTTCCTTGCTTCCTGTCTTTTGCTGCAGCAAGGTTGGGGGCTGCAGCTCAGCCCTTCCCGCGCTGCACAGGGTAGCGGGACGGAGTTCGGGTTCTGGTTTCTAAAGAGGCCTAAAGAATCGCCGCAGTCCCGTGCCCGGCTGTGAGGTGACATCTGCAGCACCCGTCCCTCCCGCCCGGGTCAGGTGCATGTGGCGGGAGCGGGGTTCTGCGTCTGGATGGGCTCGGCCGGGGCGCTGCGGGGCAGCAGCTCAGCGTGGCCCCTCTCCCGAGGCCCCTGGTCTGCAGCCGTGCTTCGGGAGGCGCAAGGAGGCCGAGGAGAGCTGCCACAGCCTGACATTTAATAAACGGGGTTCTGCCGTTTGAGGACTTCCTCTCGGGCTCTTATCTGTGAGAGGAGCCCTCTCTCCTCCTGCCGTCTCCCTGGAGCAGCTCTGAGCACCCCATTCTGGGCACAGGGCTTCACACTGCCGGCGGCCCCAGCTGGATTTGTTTACGCAGGGTCATGGGGGCAGGGGCCCAGGCCGTCCACACCCCACACCATGGTGCTGCCGTCCTCGTCCCCGCTGAGGCCGGTGAGAGCCCTCCTGGGCAGCCTGCCGGGTCCCTGGGTCGTGGGCAGCTGGGGCCTGTGAGTGGAGAGAGCGGGGTCCACAGGAGACAGAGGTGGGGTGTAAACCGCTCAGGAAAGTGCCCGAAGTGCTGCCTGAGAGCCCATCAAGGACACTGCCGGTGTGGCTGCAGCCGGGGGTGCTGCCTCAGGACAGCACAGGACATGGGCCAAGGTAGAACCAGGACCTGGGGAGGAATCGCGGCCCAGAGAGAATCGTGGCCTGCCGTGCGTCACCCGCAGGGCTCCCAGCTGACCACACACCTGGGTCATGACCTTGGGCGGTGCTGACCCGAAGGACAGGGACTTGGGAGGAAGAGGCACAGCGAGGCCTCGGCCCAACCTGCCCCCAGGTCCTGTCCCTGCCCTACGTGACCCTGGTGCCCCCCTTCCCTACCCGGCGGCCCTGCTGTAAGATGGTGGCCTGAGTGACTTGCAGCCCCGTGGAAAGCTCTCTCGCCCTGTTTACAGACGGGAAGTGGGGGCTCAGGAAGGTCAGAGGCCCAGGCCTCACACGCGGTGGCAGAGCTGGAGTTTAGTCCAGCCCCTGCTTCTCAATACGTATGCCACCTGGCCAAGGGCAGCCTCTCCAAGGGGAGGGGACTGAGTCCTGGAAGTGGAGTGGTGGCAGGTGGCCCGCCCCATGGCCAGCCACACCCCTCAGACCTCTTGCTGCCAGCAGGCTCGGTAAACGGCGGTCTGTGGCTCAAGGGCCCTTGAGGCGTGTGGGACGGTCGCCGGCCCCACACCTGTGGAAAGTGGCTCTCACACCTCCCGCACTGGGAGCCAGGCGGGCAGGGAGCTGCGTCTGAAATGCTGCCAGCGTTGTCTGTATGAGATGTCCAGGGCCACGGATGCAGGGCTGTGGCCCAGGCCTGGTGTTCCCGAAGCCCCAGGCGACTCCTGCAGCACCAGGGGCCCTGCCTCTGTCCACCGCCTCCAGCTGCTGCTGCTGCCTGGCCCTGCTCGCAGGAGGCGCACCCAGACACAGGAGCAGGCAGCACCCACCACGCCCAGCCCGTGTGTCTCCACTGTTAACCCTTGCAGAGTGCGAAAGAGAAAAGTCAGATTCACTCATCAGGCATTATTTCTCTGTACTTCCTGGGAGGCATCGCTCTCACGCCCTGACTGGGCGCCTACAAAGAAGAGGGGTTTGGTGGTGAGACGGCTCTTCGAGTGTCCGGGGGAGGTGCAATGCGAGTTTAAGCATTGTTGTTACATTACACATTTTTAATTAAAAGATCTGATTGGACTCATCAGCCAGTGCAGGTAGTCAGGTTGGCAGCCAGCTCGGTGACCCACGGAAGCTGGGGGTCCTGTCCTTCCCGCTGCCGCTTGTACATTGAGTGTGGCCCCAGCCCCAGGGTGCCCCAAAAGGATGGAGGCACAGAAGATGGTTTATTTAGCACCCTCTCTTTCTCACATGTATTTTCCGTCACCCAAATGTCTTTCCTATTGCCTTAGAGCTGAGTCATCCCCACCGACAACCTTGGCCAGAGGTCCTGCCCTCGGTCCTCCTCGGGGGTGCGGGTCTGCCATTTCTTACTGACAGAAGGTACCGCTTGCCCAGACTCCCTCCTGTGAGGCTTCGTGAATTTGCTTTTGTTGTTAAAAAATATTTCCTGCACTTAAATGTGCCCACGAATTAAAAGGAAGAAAAGTCCAGAGGAAATGAGGTCAGGTGGACGGGGCTGAGCCAGTGAAGATAAGTGACAGTGCTCAGTTATCGCTGGCACAAGACGCCAGCTGGGCACCACAGGCCGGGGCGGCGAGGGGCTCGCCAGGGCGCACGCCCCGGCGTGACTCCTCCACGGCTGCCACCCGAGAACATGATGTCACTGGCACTAGGGCCCCCCCGCCGGCATGCCCTGGGGTGCAGCGTCAGCATGGCTCACACCACGTCAGAGCGTCCACAGAGGCCCATGGTGACAGCAGTGACCCCGACCGCCATGCTGCCTTGCAGACCTCCGGGCTGAGCCCCCAGGG